TTTGAGGAAAAATATTTGGTCAGTTACAGACGTTTCGGGAGTAGGGGTATGTTACGTGAATCATGGTCACTACCTATTATCATTATTAACATTTCCATCCTCATGCAAATAATATTTAAGAATTCAGTCCGTACCGCAAAGAAAATAAAATTCTTCGCCATTGCAAAGATCAATTTGTTGGCAATGTTTAGGGAAATAGAATCAAACGAAGACGATAAATACACTCTGTGGGATAAAATTAGATTTAGTGGATGTTAAAACAGTTATAAATATTGAAATCACTGGTCGTTAAAGCGCAGTGCTCAGGTCTTTAAAGAGTTAATTTGTCTCTGTGTACATAGAAGGTTCTTCAGGGAAACTAGTGTCGTAAATTTTTTCATAACCTACTTATGTCATATCGGAGGTGTTAAAATGAATTATGTCGGTGCGACCATGGAACAAACGTGGCAGAAAATCCAACATCACATAATCACAATGCTCTTGCCATTTTGTTTAGATGCCAAGCCCTGAAGTTGCTACCCTGTTTGTCACCTTCCGTAACTTTGTGCCTGCCAGGTTGCTGTCGTGCAGGCGAAGAGAGTTGTTTGTGACGTGCGCATGCGTGAACAGTAGTTGTATCAGCCATCTGTCTACTACCTGTGCAAATTCTCACGTCACTGCCAGGCATTAAATGCCATTTATCATGCATATTTCAGTTTGTTTTCAGAGAAGTAAAACAATGATCTGCTGTCTACCCTGTTTTCCTGACATCTAGTCCACGCGATATTTGCTAGGAGCCCGCCACCATAGGCACCACCATAACCTCGTTTGCATTTCTTACTACTAGAGTCACTGCTGTCAGTACTTAATTTAAAAATTTTCCGCATCTCACGAATGGCTCACTAGGACAATGAAACGTGACGGACATTAGCTGTTGTTTTAGGAGCAGATTATGTGTTTATATAACGGCGCTGAATCAAGTGAAGATGTTAAGAAGTAACGTCGAATGGCAGGGTGATTGAGAATGATGAATTGAAAAGAATATGGAAGGAAACTGTCTTGATCTGTGTTAAGGCATTTTCAACATTCTCTCGTAGGGAGTAAGGGGATTTATTACAAACATCTTCTTCAGGATGACTTATAGATCGAAATTCGAACCGGTGATCTCACGAATAAAAAAGGCGTAGGTTGGAGTATAATATTAAATGGTATCTTGAAGGTATGCAGTGGATTCATCTGGCTTATGAGAAGTTCTAGTGCCAGGCTGCTGTGTACATGACAGTGAACCAGGTTCTGTGAAAGGCGACGGAATATCTTGAGTATCTGAGCTACTGTCGACTTCTGGAGAAGGGCCTGTCTCCATGGACTTTGCTACTTTTTTGCTGTGAAATGCATGCAGTTAGCAGCTGCGCGCAGTTCAAGGCCTTGACACAAGCCTTTGTTCGTAATAAAACTAAAAACAATTCACTTATTCGGTTTTTGAATCGCCCCGTTGCGTCGTACGGGTTTGGAATTGGAAGTTTTGGCGTGTTGTAATGGGCCCTTGTGTTAGTGCTAATGGGTATCGAACACGATGTGCTAACACCTTTCTGCACATATGTGACATGTACGTGAATGGACTGCCAGTGTGATCCGGGATTAATTCGGTTCGAACTGCACGACGTGAGATTGATGAACGAACACAAAACTTCGCAGATGCACCGAAGCTCGCTGCTGGAAACAATGCTGACCCGGTATGTCACTGTATAAATTAGATCCATTTTAATATTATCTTCTGAGGTTGACTCCGCGTTAATTCGTGACTGCCTACGCATCTGCTGCTTCAATCTTCAGAACAGAAGTAGTCTTCTACCTGAAGATGGATTGTACGCAGTGTAATAACACAGAATATACCAGCGCGTATGTTTATTAAGACGAACACAGAATGGACCTGGAGGCTGGCTTGGAGCGTTTCTGCTCTCAAAAGATTCTCACAGCGGCGACTATGCAGAGGTATGATCAGAAGTTTTGACGGCGGCTGAATTCTTCTCGGGCTATCAGACGTGTCAGGTGGCTGTATGGAGAAAACGGCAAAGTGTCGAGAACCATCTTCGTCCTCTTCCTCAGGGTACTGAAGAGGTTGGAGGTCCCTTCCGTGCTCTGTATGTACGTGCCCCAGCCCCGTAATCGTGGCTGCACGTTAGCGGGAAGCTGGGCCAAAATACCGAGGACGTCACTGCACACTCCAGCTGTTGTTGTGCGTTCATACATTCCAGCGTTTCGGTGGAACTTACTGTCGCCATCTTCAGGGCTGAGAGTCCAGACGGAGGCCCAACCAAGGACAACTTGGTTGTTTGGTTATCTTAATTTTGAATTTGTAATGAGAAGAATGTAGTCGTCGTTGGTTCTTCAGAGAGCTTCACTTTTGTCGTGCTTACGTCACGCGTATGTATCCCGCGTTAATGAACGTGGCAGCAGGTTAGCTCAGCAAGGCAGTCACTCTGCTTGATTAATGTGGCCCGCCCTACATAGACGCTGTCACGCCGCGTCTTTGATCCACCCTTGGCTCTGCTATTGTCCTATTTCGCGGTGCGGTGGATATTCTGGGGTTTTCTTAAGTACATCTTAGTGGAACGTCCCGTCAAAACCACTTCGTTGTGGTTGGAACACGGCCGTTCTAGGAAAAAAATTTAAAAGCCGCTGATCCAGTCGAGAAATTTCCCGCTTTCTGTTCAACCAGAATGTTCATTGCCGTGTTCGCATAAGCCAGCCACTGAATCGTGTACTTTGCCAGATGAGTCCATTCCTCACCTTCACATATTATTTCAATATTGTCCTGTCGTCTATGCCTAGGTCTTCCAAGTGGACTTTTTATTTCACGCTGTGCTCCGTCCCCTTTTATCTGACTGCTGCTTCTGTGTGTCCGTTGTTCCGACATATTTTCTCGCGTTCCTCCTCTGTCCTTGCTTAGACCCGGAAGCTTCTCAGCTTTCGGCAGGCGGTCTGTCACTTTGAAGTGGACAGTGGCCGAGCCTCTGTGGACTTAGTAAAGGGAAGGGTTCCTACCGCCTCTCCTGATTTTATTGCTTGTTATTAGTTTTATGGTGGCATAGGTGAAGAATAGCCTTGTTAACGTACAAGGCAAACACCACTGCCAAGCGTCTCAAATTAGCTTCCCTCCCGTCCGTCTCTGGTGACTTGGGGACAGCTCCCCCTCCTAATGGCGTCAGTTCGCGCCCACGAAGGTATTTTGTCAGTTTGCAATCTGCGGTCCTTATTTGATAAGGCAACATGGATTTATGTTATATTAGAAAGTTGCTTTGAACATCGTTGCATAGAGGCCAACCAATCTTTCTGCTTTCGGTAGCAAATGGCGGCCGTGTGACAGAAGACAGGAGCTATACTAGAGCCATCTGATGTAGAGTAACAAAGTGATACGTCTTATGTTTTAAAATAAGCCACTGCAGCTTCATTTCGTGTCGTCCACGATTTATAATAGAGGACCTTCTCGCCTTTCGATGCGGTGTAACTTGTGTAGTTGATGCACAGTCGCGAATTAAAAAGCCGGGCTCGTGTCTGTGTTCTGTGCGCTGTGAATTGGTCGCGTGCCATCTCGCACGTAAATAACTGACTGACACTGCCACAAGTAATCGATCCCGCGCCTTTGCCTCGTATTGTGAGCGGATGGTGAATTATTTGTTTCGCTGCTAATGGCCTCTGGTCGCTACAACAGGCGATGATGTCCTCTGTCGCCGGCGATGGACTTTTTCTAAAGCTGCCGCAACTGCTTCTTTGTTATAATCATCATCATCATTATTACAGCCTGATGACGTGAAGAGCAGAGACGGCTTGGGAAACCTCTAAGCTGATGAGAGTATAAATCGAAACTCATTTTGGAGTAATAGCAGAGAAATGTGAAGGAGAAAATTGAATTAAACTGGTTCGCTACAGGGACCGGTGGCGGGCTCTCGTGAGCAGGATAACGAACGTGATGCTGCCATAAAAGTCGAGAAATACCTTGATCAGCTGAGTTCAGAATAGTGTTTTAATGCAACAGAGGAGCGTGCAACCACCTGCTCGCCTTCCACTGAGACAGATTTCATCCCGCCCAGAATAATATAAGATTCTGGGCCAAGTCATTTCAACTGAGTCTGAATTTTAATCTGTCTCTCCCAACCGGTGTCTTCTCGTAATATTTTCCGCAAAAAAAAAATACTTTGGCGTTGTTTGTTTAACGTGCTTTTGACTCCGTTTAAAGCCAATGTGGTCTTTGGACATATTTGATTTGAAAAATCAAACTGCCGTTTTAATTGATCTGCGGCAGTGCCGGGCACAAATACTTCTTGGTCACGTGACTTAATCAGCTCGCAGCCAACACGCCCGTCGGAGAAGGTTTGACGTAACCTAGTTTTCTAAACTATTGAATTGCATCAAACGGCTGGTTGTTGTTACCGGCCCCCACAGAATAGTCGGACTGTATTTGAACAGTGAGTCATCACGTTGGCCGTGCAGGAGAGCGCGCGGGAATCGAATTGTCAAGTGTCGGCTCTCCTTTGCTCTTCGTGATGCCGTCGGACGCGTCCGATTACTTGATTGGTGGGTGCGGAGTCCATGCGGTCGCAGTTTCTTGGAACATTTCGACGGGCTCTCCAATCTGTCGTTTCTCTTTGCGTGAGGAAGTTGCGTCTGTGCGTGCGTTTCGATGTTTCGCGTAGAAATTGTAGAACGTACTTGATCAAATGTGATAATTTTGGGCTGGAGGTCGGCTGTACGTTCTATCAGAAGCTTTGGCCTCTGCCTCCGAAGCCCAGGATATGATCTGCGACGCAGTGAAGTCTGAAACCCCACATCGCCGATTAATTCTCTGCCTGTTTTGCTTGCATGGGGCGTCTTCTGTGCTTCGGTTTGTGTTGATACAGCGCCTTCGGACTGGGATTTTAATCCCCCCTCCCTCCCCCCCCCAAATGTTTTTTGACGAGGTTTGCCGACACCTGTTGCTCGCAGTTATGATCCCTTCATCACGTGTTTGATCGTCGTTTGTCTCCTGCGGGCGCTCTGAGGAAACATTTCCGCCGTGAAACAATGTGGAATACTTGTGCGCAGTATTGTCGTCTGAAGTAAGCAGTTTTAATGATTTCAGTACGACCTGGCGTAGAATATTGACAGATAAAATGCAGGCAGACTGTGAATCTACTTTGGAACTCCCTGTATTGGGGATCAGCCAACGCAGGGTAACACGGACGAACACGTTCACGCCGGGAATGGCGTTCGAACCCCCAGATCCCAGTTCAGGCGATCTGTTCCAGACGAATCGCGACTCGTGGCTTGCGGTTTCGCTGAGTGGACGCCGTGGCTTTAGCCTCAGACGTGCCCGGCCCATTTGCAAATTGCGTCGCAGTGCTGCTGATTAAAGTCTGGCACCGAACAGAGCGACTTTGATAAAACGAGATTATCTGTCCCTGAGAACAAAGTCTCTCCTCTGGAACAGACTCCAACAGGTGGGCTGGCGGACCTACTGTGTCTTCGTCTGGTTCCAACCCAGTCGTATTTATCCAGGAAGTTCGACGTGGCTCTAAAACCTGATGATTCCTTTTACGAACTTTTAATTAGAGCTTCTTCAGCGCGATGCTTAATGAGTATTCGCTGCTTCGAAAATTCACCAAGTCGAGTCCCAAGTCTTTTTCACCGAGATGATGCCGGATGGGCGCGTGCGCTTCGAAAAGTTACGAAAACGCACCAGTTCGTTTCGCCATGTCTGTCTGTCCGCCCCGCGTGTGAATACCCCAGAATGTTGGAACGGACATTCCTGAGCTTTGATGCATGGGGAGTTTCGCTCGAGTCCTTTGCCTGGGTCACTTCGACTTGTCGTGCGCTGGATCAGGACGTGGCTGGCGGCTGAGTTTCGGCACAGGCTGTAGGCGCCATCTCTTGCCGCGTTCCCCAGGTGCCCCGGTGTCTCCGTTGTCATAGCGATGCAGGACAAAGCAGACTCTGCTTGGTGGTTAAATTACTGAACGTATTGATCCGTTGTCATGCCATGTGCACTCAAGTGGCGGGGTCCCTGCACTTTTGGCGTTGCTCTCTTATTAGTTTCTGTGACTGTACTTCGTCAGCCACGTCGAATAGCAAGGAAGTGACGTCACGATCAGAGACTTCCGTTACTTTGGGACAGATCTTTTGAGCGCCTGAATAAATTCACGTTGCAACACACACACACACACTCTCATGAAAAGAGGGGGGAAAGCGATCGCGTTAACCGTGTTAGCCATGTTCGCCCGGCTGACACTTTGAAAAACTAAAAATAATGCGCAGTTGAAGAAATCCGCGGCGAAATACACTCTCTCGCTGGCGCATTCTTAAGACGCACGTGGGCAGGGTCTTCCGGTGTCCTGGGTTGCTATGACGGCCGCGTCTTGTGGACCCGCGGGTCCCGCGACAGACGGTTCTCAGATGTGTCAGGTCTCATTTGTCGCCTCAGCCAATCACTTTTAACGTGCCCTGTGTTCGTATCGATTCGGTTAATAAAATCATCAGCTGCTTTTAAAATTCCTCTCAATGTGTAAATAAATCTGAATTTTTATCAAGGCAACTGTTGTTTCTGCACCAACATGATTACGCAGTTTGTAATTACTGAGTTCTCTGTTTGCCATTTCCACTCTAGTGAATGTAGGAGCAAACTTGACGATTAATGTAATCCATACTACGTAATATAAACACGCTGTCCTTGCAAAATTGCTGATTTTCGTCCGAAAATAACAGAGCATGTGAAAAGGCCTTTTAATCAAGCAGATTAAAAACTTCTGTCAGAGGTAGAGTATCACATCGGGAAACAGAGATATTTTGTGTTTGGGACCGACACTTCAGATGTGAAATTTGCACAGCACTACTGGAGCCAGCTTCACGGCTCTTTATTAAGGCGACATTTACTAATGCGGTTAATGTGACCTGCATCGTTGTGACACGTGCCTTGTCACTGCTATAATAACAAAGCCCACAACTGGACTCAACCTCGAGCCACTTAGTTTCATCTCCCTCCCATACAACTTTTATGTTCGTGATATCCATCTTAATGTTATCCTCGGTGTTCGAAATGAGTTCAGTTGAAAAGGCGGTCATATATCACGCAGACGTAGTCGCGAACAGTCGGCACAGAAGTGGCCCTGGCTTGTTTCAAGCGAAGATACTGACAAGAGTAACTTCAGGACAGGCGACGACCAGTTCTGGGTTCGAAACGGGTACCTCCGGCATGCAAGTCGAAGTAGCTGAGTCAGAAACGCGTCGCTCCTGGTTCCATCTCCGGTAGGGCATCTGGGTTCTAATCCCTGGGGCAAAGGTCACAAGGAAGTTTAAGCTTTCCGATTGGCCATCTTGCGCCCATGTCTAGGGTCCGTGGATCTTTCATGTTGACAGTGTTTGACGAGAGACTGGTTTAGTGATGAATTGTGAAGGAACTGGTTGCGGCGTGTTTTGCGCCACGTGCATAACAAGCCATGGTCTATTTTACGTGTAGCGCACTTCATAAGCATCGCCCTCCGAACTGTTTTCAGAAGCAAATGAGGAGGAATCCGAGACGTGATACGCGAAGTTCTTTCTGATAATGGGCTGAATAGAATCTCTGATTTTCTGCGTTCGGAAGTTAAGCCCAAATTAGCGACTGCGTGAAAGAAATACGTCCGCTAAATGTTTTTAAGCGAAATCATTTCAGCGTTTGCAGCATTTGAACTCGTTAGTCTCTTACGTCATCATTAGCTTCAAGGGTAAATCCACTGGCCTGTTTCGTCCTCATTAAAATCTCCCGTGGTTTCGAAAGACTTCCAACATTCTTTTTCTTCTCCTGAATCATTATTCACGACTCTCGTTGGCTGACGATTTTCCATCGTGATTTACGACGAGTTTCCGCTGTTTATTTCTGTGGTGTGAAATTCTATGCATCTTTTTTGGATTAACTGACAAGAACTCAGTCCAGCCTCAAATTCCGTGTCCTTTTTTAAATTTGAGTTTTGATACCTGCATAGATCAGGTTCCTTGATCCGTAACAAGGTTTGTCGCTGTTTTCGATTTGAGCCAGTCAGCGTCAGTCGACCTTAGTCACGACTACGCTTTCCGTCGTAGCCTAGTGCAAACGTGCGTGCGAAGTGCCTTGTAACTCTGTCTCTGCTGCGCGCGCAACACGCCATCCTGTTTGAATGGTACAGTAGCAAGCAGCGTTAACACCACATCGCACGCCTTGGCGAAGTTACTTTACCCCTCGTCTGCACGGAACTCAGATTGACTAATTTTTTTTAAAAATTTGTATAATATCCGAAACGACGTCTGCTTCTTCAGTCACTTGTCAAAGTCCGCTGTTGTTTGCTAAGCTCTCGCGTCTTGTTAAGAATGTACGTTGAGCCGTTCTCATAAGCCGTCTTCCCGTCTCATGACAGAGAACATTGTATAAAATATGTACCACGTGCATTGCTTTTCAGAGAGTCAGTTTCTTATAATCTCGGGGAAATTACCTTATAATGCGCCGTCTTCTTTAATAACTCCGAGTTGTTTGCATTACGAAGTGGCTGTTGAAAGCCTCTTGATCAATAACGCGGGCAGAGTCGCTGTACAATTTGTGGAAAGATTAACAGAGCCGGAGCCTGAGAACTCGCTGTCTGCTGTGTCTTGACGTCGGGCAGATGATCAATAAATAGTCCGTGCTCTTGCTGATACGAATTGGAAGTACCCGTTGCCCGTTTCAGGGCCGGCAGGGGGGGGGGGGGGG